GATATGGGCTGCAAGATGCACTATGGGGCAAGGAAAGGGACAGGAAAAGTTACTGAGAAATTGGGGAGTGAGGAGCAAGATCTGTGAATTGGGAAACAGAAGAATACTGGAGTAAGATGCAAATCTGCAGAAGGGGAAAAAAAAGAGAACAGGGTACCTGCAATATTGCAGGCAAGGAAAAAAGACAGAGAAAAGGAAGGAGGAATAACAGAGAAAACTGACCAGATGCAAAAGGCAGTCAACAAAGAATGGCAAAGCAATCACTGTGCTAAAGTGTAACAAAAAAAAAAAAATGCTTCTCCTGGTTAATGTGGGGATAATCTCTCTGGATTTACCAATGATCTGCCCAGCCTATTTCATACTTTATTAACCCTAGAATACAATTGTAAATTAGGCTAGGTGGCTCACTGGCAAATCCAGAGAAGTTTGTAGTAGGCACTTCTTTAGAACCACAGGCTGTGTCCAGCTTGCACTGAACAAACATCTTGGCGTATGGGCAAGCACAGAATGACATCCAATGATCTGATTCAGGCAGTAGTTCTGCATTCTCTTGAAGGCTCTGCCAATATTTGGGAGAAAAAAATACTACTAATATCAAACTTGTTCATTCCCCCTCCCCCTGCACTGCCCTGAAAAATAGCTGCACTTTTGAACGCATGCAAGAACACAGTTGTGTGAATGCAGAAACAGGAACTCTTGTGGGGCAATGTCAAATTAGGGGAACCTTCGTAAGAGTGCAGCAGGGACCAGACCTGAACATTGACACAAACAGGGTCCAAATAGGCATTTTCTTCCCTTTGCGTCCTCTTGACAGCTACCAAAAGGCAAGCTGTCAAAGGAAATCAGTGGCATGAATAAAGGATAAGATTTATATACTCTTTACAACAAGATCATTTCCCCCCTTTGGCTTTGTTAGTCCTCAGGGTGATGCACATTTTGCATTCTTTCCTGGGATTCTAGCTTCTTGGAAAGTTAAAAGTGGAAAGTTATTTCCACTGTGTCTCTGGTGAAAAGTAGTTTTGACAAGTAACCATGAAAGTTCTGCCCCCTTTAAAAGGAAGTTTGGACAGGGCAGTGTGATTTTTTTCCTGGGACATATACAATCATAAGATAGGTTGTCATGTTGTCCAAGCCCAGGACATTGATTTTATTGTGAATTGCCATGATCAGCTAAAGGGTCACTCCACCAGGACAATAAAAAAGCCCATACTGCTGGCTTTTTGCCGTCTCACTTGTGACTGCCCTTCTCCCAATGCCAAATCAGCACTTTGGAAGGAACTTCACTTGTTTTCAGGAATTTTATTTTTGGTGACACAAAATTGCAGAATTGGAGTTACAGGAAAATGTTGCTTTTTTGCAAGTGCACACTTAAAGCTATCTGCTATGGGCATTGACAAGTTGAGATTGCCTAATAGCCAATTTGCACACAGTTGCTAAGGACTGGGAGGGGAAAAAAACAGTATGAGAAAAGCTGGAACTGGAAGTGTGAGTCAGATGCACTGAAAACGTGTGTGTGTGTGTGTGTGTGTGTGGGGTGGGGGGGTGGCAGGAGGAAGTGTACCAAAATAGTTCCCCCTTAGCAGTGTGATCAACTTGGTTTTAAGTGTTGAGCTGTCATTTCTCAGTCTCTTTCACTTTTTCAACAGTTCTCCAATCTCCAGCTATTCCAGAAAGGGAGCTATTAATCCGTCCCCTTTCCTCAGATTCTGTTCTGTGCACAAAACATATCATAAGGAAATTTGTATTAGGATCAGAGGAAGCAGGAGTGAAACTTGAGGAAAGAAACATCCACAATTAAAAAATGCAGATGATACCATAGTAACAGCAGAAAGCAGCAGCAAATTGAAATGACTCCTGATGAAAGTGAAAGAAGAAAGTGCAAAAGCAGGATTGCAGATGAACATTAAGAAACAATTATGATGACTACCGAAGAATTGCACAACTTTAAGGTCAACAATGAAGAAATTGAAATTGTGGAGGATTTTACCTACCTTAGCTTATTCATCCATGCAAACAGAGACTGCACCCAAGAAACCAGAAGACGGCTGGGATTTCAAAGGGCAGCAATGAAGGAACCAAAAAAGATAATCAAGTGTAGAGATGTTTCACTGGAGACCAAGGCCAAGATTATCTACCCTATTGTATTTCCAATCACAATGTACGCGTGTGAAAATGGACTGTGAAAAAAGCTTGCTGGAATCAAAATGATCTGTTTGAAACATGATGCTGGAGAAAAAACTTTTCAAATACCCTGGACTGACAGAAAGATGAACAAGTGAGTACTTTATTGAATCAAGACAGAACTTTCCCTGGAAGCAAAAATGATGAGACTGAGGCTGTCATACTTTGGACACATCAAGAGAAGGTGAGATTCATGAGAAGCCAACAATACTAGGGAAAGTCAAAGGCAGAAGAAGAAAAGGAAGAACAACGATGAGATGGATCAATTCCATAAAGGGGGCCTCAGCTTTGAGTTTACACGTGCTGAGCAGAGCTGTGAAGAACAGGACATTTTGGAGAGCACCCATGCCAGGGCCAACAAATCAGAGATGACATGATGGCACAGAACAACAACTGCTGTGATTACTGTGATACCAACAGTTTTCAACAATGGAGAAATGTACAAAAATATAATGGCTGGGGAATAAATGGAGGGGAAGCAAATCTGTACAGTTCTGTATTATCAGCTCTGTTACCGTAGGCACACAAATTTCCCCTCCATTTATATCCCAAACTTAAATTAGCACAAGGGGTAGACTGGAGTGTGGAAGGCAAACAAGATTTTGCCACATATGTCAGAGTCAGCTGCAGGACTGAGAAGGAAGGTAGGGAGAAACAATCCACAGTAAAACTGATTGTCTGGCAAGCATACTATGGGTTATTTAGTGAATAACCAGCCTACTATGACTTAGCATGACAGGCAATGTTGCTCAAAGAAAGCTATTTTCTCTACGAGAATAATGCAAAAACATTTTTACTATTTTTTTAAAAGTGGAAACTATCTTCTGTGTTTTCCTGAGAGTAAAAGGTAATTATCCAAGGCAAAGAACATAATTCAAACTCAAGCTCCCACTTTTAGAGCATACAGGTACACCAAAACATAGAAAATCTCTCACATGCACACACCCACTTAAGAGAAACACCTGGGTAATTAGCCATGCTGGGTTGGTTGTGTATGAAACAAGCTGCGTGGGTCCAACAGGCAATCAGGTTTACTGTGGGTTCTAGGTCCCCACCCACCCAGTTTTCCTGTATCTCCTGGACACCACAGAGGAATGAATCTTCCCCCTGCCTCTCACCAAGATCATGAGTCCTTTTGGGTTTCCAAAAGGGCTCATATTTTTTCTTCCATTTTTGTAATTTTTCAAATGTTTTGTATCCAAGGCATGTCAGGACATAACCAGTTCTAAGGGGTAAGCTATATAAGGGTGCTGAAGTTTTTGGCTGCCTCATTACTACAAAATGTACCCAAAGCAAAAAAGATGTGCAGATATAAAGAGTAAAGCAGTAACTATTACTGAATTAGGGTGCTACCCTGTGCATGTTTAGACAGAAAAAAGGCCTACAACTCTCAGCATGTCCCAGCCAGCAGATGTCCCAATATGTACAGAACTGTGCCTTTAGTCAGAAGACTCAACCAAAAATTGTTGACTGGGAAAAATTGTCCTGATTAACTGAGAAATGGGGTTTTTAAAAATTATAAATATAATTTTAATACAAGTACTGTACTGATGAAAGCTTCAGATGGTAAGGATCACCTCCTGAAGTAAGGAGTAAGGAAGAATTATCTCCTGTGCAAAAGAAAAAGAGGGATGCCTTTTTAAAAATTATGAAAACAATATTTAAAAAATGATGTGGTTCCCTGAGCTCTCATTTAATTTCCAGCAAATTGCTTCTACTCACTATACATTTATAGTGGGGGAAAACCTATTCCCCAAAACAGCTTCCAGGCATCTGCCCCAAATGGAGAAAGATGGTATTTAGGTACAGGCACAAAAAACTATTCATAATTCACAGCATTCATGTCTACTCATTCCTACCCATTGGATTTAATTGGGTTTTCTCCCAAGTAAGTTGATAAAGAATTGCACGCTTAGAATGAGAGATATTCAGTTGGTCAATTAGACCAATGGTTTGTTGTTGTTGTTTTGCTTTTCTGTTAAGGTTGCTCCTTTTCAGTTTTGGCCAGAATAGTACTTTTTGGACATCTAGTACATTTTATTTTGATGCATAGGTGCCAGCTTCCAAAACACTTGATTTAAAAATACAATAAATCCACCAGGAAGTTCAGCAGTGAATGATTCCATTGTGCCCCAGTTATTGCAGGGAGACTTATGAAGAATAACTTCCCCACAGAATTGTTTCATGATGACATGAGGCTTTGTATTCAACTGCTTACATAGCACTGGCCAGAGAAATGGCTTAAGTGTGTGTGTTAAGGTATAATGGAGAATATTTGCAAGGAGAATGCAAGTATTATCCCTGTTAGCAATGGTAATTATCATAACAACACTTCACCTACACAGGCATATCCTGATAGCTAGAATTAAAAACAGGAATTCTCTCTATATATCTATATACGTATACAGATATGAAATAGTTCCTGGAACTTCAGACGAGAATACAAAATGAACAAGGCTGTGCAAACTTTCGAGTTACACGGAACTCTTCATCTGGTGATCACAAAGATGAGTTAGCCGCCTGGAAGAACAATAAAGGCTAGCCTGGTGATCACAAACACCAAGCTCGGAGAACGAGGCTAATTTCTGCTTGGTCCAACCGCCACGGAGGGAGCTAGGGACAGGCTTGCCTTGAGGGTTACGTGTCCCGATCTCTCGACCGGCGCGAGCAGCGAGGGTGTGCGTGCTGGGCTGGGGCGCACTGGAAGGAGTTTACAGCTGGCTCCTTTCTGCCTGCTTATCGCCTGGGCGAGAAGCCTCGTCCCTCAGTTCCCCGGGCAGCGGGAGGGCCACGCCCCGGGGAAGAAGGCAGAGCCAAGCGCTGCCCAGCAGAGCTCGCACAGCAGGGAGCGGCCCAGGCATGGAGCTGCCGCCTTGAAGCAGGTTCTCTGCAACGCGCCCAGGATGGGAACGCACGGGGCAGGTGAGTGGCTTACGGGAGGACCCTCGGCCCGCGGGCCCGCCAGCCCGTCACCCGGGCCGCAAAAGGGAGCGAGGCCACGAGGGTCCGTACCGCCCCACCCACTCGAGAGCGCCCTCTTGCGTCTCTGCTTCTCCGCCAGTCGCTTTTTCAGCATGCGCAAAGTGTCACCGTCTGAGCTGTGCATGCAGAAGGTGTTCAGCAAATGCTGCAAACGGAGACGACGGCGCTTCAAGCGGCGGTGGCCCCATCGGTGTATGGGAGTGTTTTGGGAGAAGCTTCCCTCTCTTAGCCTGAGATCTTTCTTGGGTGGGATCCAGATTTAGTCCTGTTTCGAGCGCAGATCCATTGCAGTCGACAGGACTTGACTTAGTCATGATTAACGTAAGCCTTGTTGATTTCAGGGGTCTGATCGAGATATAACCTAATCTGCGACCAGCCCCCTGCGCGTCTGTCTGCCACTGAGAGGGGAGGTGTACTGTTCCTAGGGTCGAGGAAGAAAGCGCCTGCCCCGGCTGGCCTGGAGTGGGGGGCAGATGGATACATAGTGGGCTAGCGGCGTGGTCGCCTTCTTCTTCTTGCGCCATCGGGGAGACGATGCCCGCTGTTTATGCGCTTGTATCCCTGGATACCAGGCGGGCGCCCTCCACAGTCAAGAGATTTGGAGGGAGAAGAACGTGGAGTTTCTGCCGCCGACCCTTAAAGAAACAGGCACCTCATTGTTCCACCCTGATCCATGCAGGGATTTGGGGGGGGGGGGGCAATTGAGGCGAAAGCCCGTTTATTACCTCAAAGGTCGCTCCCTCCCAGTCCCACGCCGCTCCGCCAAAGAGCCTGGCGTATCCGTTTTCCCGTTTCGAGCCAGCCACGGGCAGAGGAGTCGTAGCCTTCTTCCAAAGCGGTACAGCCGTCGGACAGGGCGCGGGGGGAGGAGCGCGGAAGAAAGGATTGCTTATACAGAGAGCATTTTATTCCCTAAGAACTGCCACCGATGAAACAAGAGAAGGGAAAAAGATACCCCGAACTGGCCGGGGTGAGTTTTGGTGGGTGAAAATGCGTGAGCTTCAGGGCGGGACTAGGCTCTTCTGGGAGAAATGAAAAGCGCCTCTCATTGCTGGATGCCCAAGAAAGGGTATCCCTTTTCCCTTCCTGTATGATTTCTCTCGCCTGTTGCTGCATTTTCCCACAGCCTCTGGAGTTCTTTCCAAATCAGTTACACTTCCCCCCACATGCATTAGGGCACCACTGGCCAACATGGTAGCACTGCCAGATCTGCCAAAGTACAAGCCACAGCATCTGGATGGGGTGATAGGAATTGTAGTTGGCACAACTGGAGGGCAGTACATTGGGAAAGGCTGCTTTGTTGTTGTTTATCCACAAAGTCATACCCGACCCCTCATGACCCAAAGGACAACATTCCTCCAGGCTCTCCTGTCCTCCAGTATTCCCCAGAGTCCACCCAAGCCCACACACACCACCCCAGTGACCCCATCTAGCCACCTCAACTTCTGTCGTCCCCTTCCTCTTTTGCCTTCAGTCATTCCCAGCATTAGCATCTTTTCCAGCTAGTCCTTCCTCTTCATTAGTTGGCCAAAGTATTTGAATTTCATCTTCAGTATCTGACCTTCTAAAGAACAGTCAGGGTTGATTTCCTTTAAGATTGATTGAGTTGATTTATTTGCAGTCCACGGGACTCTCAGGAGTCTTCTCCAGCACCACAATTCAAAGGCATCAATTCTTCAGCACTTAGTTTTCCTTGTGGTCCAACACTCACAGCCATAATTACAACTGGGAAGACCGTAGCTTTGACTTTATGAACTTTTGTCAGCAGGGTGATGTCTCTGCTTTTTAGTATGCTGTCTAGATTTGCCATAGCTTTCCTCCCAAGGAGCAAGCGTCTTTTAATTTCTTGGCTGCAATCACCGTCTGCAGTGATCTTTGAGCCCAAGAAAATAAAATCTGTCACTACCTCCATTTCTTCCCCATCTATTTGCCAGGAAGTGATAGGACCGGATGCCATGATTTTAGTTTTCTTAATGTTGAGTTTCAAGCCAACTTTTGTGCTCTCCTCCTTCACCCGCATCAAGAGACTCTTTAGTTCCTCTTCACTTTCTGCCATTAGAGTGGTATCGTCTGCATATCTGAGGTTGTTGATATTTCTCTTGGCAATCTTAATTCCAACTTGTGATTCATCTAGCCCAGCCTTTCGCATGATGTACTTATAAGTTAAATAGGCAGCCTTGCCGTACTCCTTTCCCAATTTTGAACCAATCAGTAGTTCCATGTTCAATTCTCACTGTTGCTTCTTGATGTACATGGAAGTTTCTTGAGAGACAAATAAGATGGTCTGGTACTCCCATCTCTTTAAGAACTTGCCACAATTTGTTGTGATCCACACAATCAAAGGCTTTATCATAGTGAATGAAGCAGAAGAAGATGTTTGTCTGGAACTCCCTAGCTTTCTCCATGATCCAGCATTTGTTGGCAATTTGATCTCTAGTTCCTCTGCCTCTTCAAAACCCTGCCTGTGCTTCTGGTAGTTCTCAGTCCACATACTGCCGGAGCCTAGCTTGTAGGATTTTGAGCATAACTTTGCTAGCATGTGAAATGAATGCAACGGTGTGATAGTTTGAACATTGGCATTGCCCGTCTTTGGGATCGGAATGTAAACTGACCTTTTCCAATCCTGTGGCCACTGCTGAGTTTTCTAAATTTGCTGGCATATTGAGTGTAGTATTTCATCCACATCATCTTTTAGGATTTTGAATAGTTCAGCTGTAATACCATCTCTTCCAGTAGCTGTGTTGTTGCTCAGACTTCCTAAGGCCCATTTGACTTCACACTCCAAGATGTCTGGCTTGAGGTCAGCAACCACACCATTGTGGTTATGAGGGACATTAAGATCTATCTTGTATTGTTCTTCCATGTAATCCACCACCTCTTCCTAATCTCGTCTACCTCTGTTAGGTCCCTGCCATTTTTGTCCTTTATCCTGCCCATCTTTGCATGAAATGTTCCCTTGATATCTCCAATGATGAAGAGATCTCTAGTCTTTCCCATTCTGTTGTTTTCCTCTATTTCTTTGCACTGTTCATTTAAGAAGGCATTCTTATCTCTTCTAGCTATTCTCTGGAATTCTGCATTCAATTGGGTGTATCTTTCTCTTTCTTCCTTGCCTTTTACTTCCTTTCTTTCCACAGCTATTTGTAAAGCTCTCTCAGAGGAGCCATTTTGCTTTCTTGCATTTCTTTTTTTGGGGGATGGTTTTAGTTGCTACCTCTTGTACAATGTTGCGAACCTCCATCCATAGTTCTTCAGGCACTCAGTCTATCAGATCTAATTCCTTAAATGTATTTGTCACCTCCACTGTATATTCATAAGGAATATGATTTAGGTCATACCTGAGTGGCCTAGTGGTTTTCTCTACTTTCTTCAGTTTAAGCCTGAATTTTGCAAGAAGAAGCTCATGATCTGAGCCACAGTCAGCTCCTGGTCTTATTTTTACTGACTGTATACAGCTTCTCCATCTTTGGCTGCAGAGCACATAATCAAACTGATTTCTGTGTTGACCGTCTGGTGATGTCCATGTGTAGAGTCATCTCTTGGGTTGTTGGAAAAGAGTGTTTGCTGTGACCAGTGTGTTCTCTTGACAAAATTCTGCTAGTCTTTGCCCTGCTTCATTTTGTACTCCAAGGCCAAACTTGCCTGTTATTCTGGTTATCTTTTGGCTTCCTACCTTAGCATTCCAATCCCCCATGATGATAAGGACATCATTTTTTGGTGTTATTTCTAGAAGGTGTTGTAAGCCTTCACAGAACTGGTCAACTTCAGCCTCTTTGGCACCAGTGGTTGGGGCATAGACTTGGACTACTGTGATGTTGGTTTGCCTAGAATTCAAACTGAGATCATTCTGTCATTTGGAGATTATATCCCAGTACTGCTTTTCCTACTCTTTTATTGACTATGGTGGCAACTCCATTTCTTCTGAGGGATTCTTGCCCGTAGTAGTATATATGATGGTCATCTGAATTAAATTCACCAATTCCTGTCCATTTTAGTGCAATGATTCCCAAGATGTCTATGTTCAGTCTTGCCATCTCATGTTTGACCACATCCAGCTTACCTTGATTCATAGATCTTACATTCCAGGTTCCTATGTAGTATTGTTCTTTACAGCATTGGACTTTCTTTTCACCACCAGATACAACTGCAACTGAGTGTCCATTCGGTTTTGACCCAGTGACTTCACTCTTTCTGGTGCTACTTGTACTAGCCCTCTGCTCTTCCCCAGAAGCACAATGGAACCTTCTGACCTGAGGGGCTCATCTTCCGGCATCAAATCTTTTTACCTTTTGATACTGTCCATGGGGTTTTCATGGCAAGGATACTGGAGTGTGTTACTATTTCCTTCTCCAGTGGATCACCTTTTGTCAGAGCTCTCCGCTATGATCAAGCTATGTCTTGGGTGCTCCTGCGTGGTGTAGCTCATAGCTTCATTGCACTATGCAAGCTCCTTCGCCATGGCAAGGCAGTGATCCATGAAGAAGAAGGCTGCTTTAGAGGGCAGTAAATATTCTGGGACTGGATTTTTTCGTTGCTAAAAGATTTGATGGAGGACTGAGGAGACCTTCCAGGTGTTCTTGGTCTCCAGTTCTTATCAGACTGAGCCAGCCTGAGTCCAGTGATACCTGCTGGTCACCACTTCCCTTGGATGCCATGATATACTTTGTAATGGAGTGAATAGTGAGCCTCACAAAGTGCACTATGACTGTTTTTGGATGGAATAGCACTGTGCTAAAATAAGTACATTAGACCAGTTTTCCCCCAACCCGGAACCCTCCAGAAGTGTTGGAATACAAATCCCAGCATCCCACCCCACAGCCAGCCATGCCTTCTCCCCTCCTTATCCACCTTTCTGAAGCACAGTGGAGAAAAGTAAAGACTGCCACTCTCTTTAGCAGTGCTGGGTTTGCAGGCAGCTGCAGGGGATGCTGCATATAAGTGGGTGATATTGGCAACAATGTGTGCATCTCATGATCCAGATTCGGGTGAAAGGAGTGGATCAGGGCAGGACAACAGAGATTGTTGGATGAGGACTGCCTGCCTGCCTGCCTGACAGGTTAGGCAGGAAATAGAACTGGAGCCATTGCTCAGTAAATGTCTGCATGGACTTCCAAGTTCTGTGAAAGGGAGTTCTAGACTGCTGCTGAGAGATAACTGTCATATCACAAATTCCTCTCCCAATTCCTGCAAACAGCCAGCTGTGTTCCAACAGAATGGAGAATGTTGAACAGGACTGGACTTGGCGTCCTGCAACAGCAGGGGATTGGATCTGATGGCTTTCATGGCCCCTTTCAACTCTACTATTCTATGATTCTATGAGTGAGACTATCAGCCTTTTTCTGGTCCAGCTACCCATGATTACATGCCGCTGGGTTCCTCTAGCTCTGCTACCAGCTTGCTCTTCAAGATGGATGTATGTGTGATCTTAAAATGGTGATGGGAACATCCAGAAATGAAGTCCTTCACCAGCAGCATGGGATGAAGCAATCTAGCATCACATGGATGTTCTCATTGTTGGTTTCTGCTCTAAGATACTTCCTCTCCACCTAAACTGTCACCAGAGGAGGACTAATGACTAGAAGTGGCAGCTTTTTATATTACAGGAAATGGTGAAAGGTGGATCAGCAAGTCACTTGCATATCCGGAGTTTGTGCTTTTATTTGAAGCTCATGCACTTCCATAACAAAGATATAGATTTTAACATTCCTTTTTCCATGGGATGCTAGAAATGCAATAAGGGTGGCCACATTCATTAGCTTAAACAGCTAAGTGAACTAGGAGATGATGTAAGGTGCAAAGGCTAGCATCAGAAACTTTGCTTTTGAGATGAAGGACAAGGGCTACCCTTGCCCTTCCCCACCACCATTTCATATATGGAAGTCAACTGGGTTGGCAGATAAATCGAACACTAGCGAGGGCAATAGTCTTGCTTATGGAGCAGCAAAGAGGATGTGAAGCACAGACAGCTCTATCTTCTAACACCACAGCACTGCTTTGACAATGCACCTTCAGATGCCCATACACTGCCTGCCCAAAGAAACATTACAATACATTAAGGAGTCCTACCAGAGAACAGCACACATGTGATGCTTGCTATGATGTCAGTCCTAGACTAGTTGCCTCTGTCCCTGCAATCTTTCCCAACAATGCTGCTGGTAACATGCTGGGACCATGTTGGGAGAAGTCAGCCAGTAGAAGGGAGAAGTCAGGGAGTACAGACTGTTGGGAGAAGTCAGCCAGTACACACCAGCAACAAGCAAGCAGAGACCATGGGAGGCTGCTAGCAGAGGGGAACTGGTTGCTGCCCTCCTCCTTCCAGCATCCACTGTCCAAGGCAGCCTGAGCATCACTTTGTGGAATGGCGAGGCCAGCTCTGAGTGGATTGTAAACAAAGGGATCAGAGGCTGCTGCTGATCTAATCTAGCATCCTGTGTCTACCAGCAGCCTGGGCCAGATGCTTCAAAGGAAACTGTACAACAAAAGCACATCTGTGAAATACATACATTGTCAAGTATAAGACTGACAACTCATACATTGTCAAGTATAAAATTTTAGTAGCCAGAAAAGTCAAGGTTGCATCACTCTCACAAAATATTGTGGGGAGGAGGAAGATTACCAGAAATGTATTTAATACTTCAGGGGACCCAGTTACACTATTGCATGCCATATGATTCCGTGTGAATAAGTTCTACTGGTTAATCATGACCTTTCCGACAAAGTTCTTTTTCTCCTACTCAACAGAGTAAGGGGCCAGCAACCCTTTACGACCACAGACAGGTGGCCACTGCTTTTTCCACAGAAAGAATGAATGGGGTTTTCTTAGAGAAATGGTCACTAATAATTTTCTTTTAAGATTTGAAAACTATCCATGGACTTTTAGGGATAATATTATGGGAAGGAAAAGCTGATGTCATTTTTCAGGAAGAGCCTAGGAATGGTGCCTAATCCGGTCCAAAGTCTTTTAATTGTTCCACTGTTTCCTAAATTTAAACAATGTCTCTGGAATGTGATCCAGTGCACCATAACTTCAGTTTCCACACAATGGCAAAAGCAGACATTCCAGAATCAGAGTAGTGACAGGCTGCACTCTTAAACTAGATGGAAGTTATCAAGGGACATAAATGTGAAATGATTTAACTTTACTGCTAGTTGCATTTTAGTTGCTTTTAATATATGCAGCATAGACATTTGCAGAAATTTTCTGAGCAGGAGGAGCAAAGCTACATAGAATGTTGTGGTTGTAATTTGTGTGCACAGCACATATTGCTATAACACACCTGTGTACTTTCCTTCTGTCTGTGTTTTGTTGCTTAGTATCACATGCTATGGCATTTTGAAGCCTACACAAAGAAATAGAAGATCCTGGAAATGGAACATTCAGAACTAATCCAAGAGGTTACCTTCCAGAATTATCATGAATACCAACAAAACTCATTTAGGCTGAGGGATAAAAAAAATCCCCCTAGGAACCAGATAATTGACTCCCAGGCCATCCCGAACTACTCAATAATACTCCCAGTTTAAAAGGGCCCAATATGTACCACACATTGACTCCATAAAGGAAGCCACAGCCTTGAATTCACCAGGGCTGAACAGGGCTGTCAAGGATGGGATATTTTTGAGGTATTCATTCATAACGTTACCATAATTTGGAGATGACTTGATGGTTCATTCCCTGGTACATTCAAACAACTGACCTGGATATAGTAGGTCATGTTTACATGATGAACAAACAGCAACAGTAGTTCTGCAGAGGTAGTTCAGGAAGGTTTGCTTGACCTTTCAGCTATTCACATATTCTTTACTTACAGGAGTGCATCGAGTTTTTTCTCAACAAGGTTTAATATTGTAAGGAGGTTCCAAAGTTCTCCCCTTCTTCTTAGACAGGAAATAGTTGGGGAGATAGGAAATAGAAAACTGTCTATGATAGAAAGCAGAATATTCTAAGACAGAGACTGATATTCTAGGAAGGAAAAGGATAGTCTAGTTAAAATCTCAAGAACAAAGAATGACAAAATTCATACTTCAGTGAATGGAAACTAATGCTAATTACAGGTTTCATTGGATAAGGGTTAAGTTTCCAAAGAGGACAAACACAATAACATATCTTCCAAAACCAGCCCAACCCAAACAGGAAACTTTGAGCATACATTGCCAATAGTGGGTTGCTGAGCCATTAGAGAAGTTCTGAAGAAACTGGTAAACAGTTCTTAAATATTCACTGTTCCTTAAAACTTCCTATTACTTTTTCACATGTTGCAATACAAAATATCTAGCTCAGATATCATAATGGCAGTTTTCTGCACTTGCTTGCCAGATGCTGTCAAGAATTTCAGTATTCTAACCTGGAGGTAATTGAATTATGAACTATGGGTACTTCCATAGTGAAATAATCTTGGTTTATTCATGGAATCATACAAGGATGTACAGCAACTCAATCTCAATTTCATTTTCCATTTATAACCCTCCCATGTTTTTCCACTGCTTCTTTCATCTTTTTTCTTTCTATTAATAATCCAGCAAGTAGAGAAAGATATATAAGATACAAAGGCACAGTGCCTTTTGATTGGAAACACTAAGAGCTGTCAATGTGAAATCCCCATAAGAAAAGTATTGTTGTAAAGTTTTGATGCATAAACTTGTGAGAAATTATTGATTCTTGTAATTTTTTTAACTTTAGGTCATAAGAGATGGACATTTGTACTCATTGGTGGGGTCCTGATAGTAACAGAACTTGCCTTAGGAAGTCTGGAAGAAGAGACGTGCAACTGCAGCACACCTATCAATTTCTGGGAATTCCAGACCAATTTGATTCCTGAGATGTGCTGTCTGAATTTCACCAGGACTCAAATCAATACCTTGGATTGGAGCATCTTTGCTGGAATTGCTGGGCTAAGAAAACTCTACCTATCAAACAGTAGCATATCAGACATTATTAATGTAGATGCTGGTTCTTCTACATTAGAGTTCATATACCTGGACCATAACCAACTAAGTTGGCTTCCAGATGGTTTTCTAAAAAATGCACCTAGCTTGCGTGTCATTCAGTTAGAGAACAACCAACTCCAGAATCTGTCTGAATCATTCCTGGAAATATCTGATCAAATCCAGGAGATCCATCTTAGCTTCAATAACTTATCTTCCCTTCCCTCAGGGATATTCAAACCCTCCCTCCTCTTATTAAGCCTCTCCAACAACAGCTGGGAATGCACTTGCACCTTACTTGGATATCTGGAAAAATATCTAGTTGCACCATTTTACACTGAGATAATTTGCAGCACCCCAAGGCATTACCATGGCCTGAATATCAAAGACATCCCAAAGCAGGAGCTATGCCAGACTCACAATTTAACTGCTCTTTTCATTTGTCTGCCTGTAGTGGCTGTTCTTGTCTTGGTCACCTGGTGCTTTTGCAAGCAGAAGAATAAGACAACTGATTATGCTCTCCATGGTGGGAAAGAGTGCCGCCTGGCCACAGTGGAGAGAAATGGTGCCAAAGGGTCAAGGGACCATCACTGCTATGTCCCATGTGAAGTGCCTCTTAGATCTGCTACAGAGAATGAGAAAAACATCTTGTTGCAGAATCAAGTCTTGCTCAAACCTTCAACTGCACTTTTAGGGAGCAACAGAGACCTGTATGAGGAGGTGGAGATCAAACTTGGGGCTTCTGATGACTCCTTGGTGAGGACCAATGAAAAAAATCCTGACCAAGACAATTTAGGATCCAAAAAAATTATAATCGCAGAGGAGGAGGATGCAGGTGGGGAGTCTGAAGCTGAGACAATGAGTGTGTCTGATGTTCTGAAGGATTCAGCAGACCGGGAGAAGCTCTACATGAACCAGTCAGTAGATTATTATAACCTGGTTCCTGGTATTGAACTGGAAGACTCAGACCAAATGGAATACGAGAATGTCGACCTTTCCTGAGATTGCTTGTCACATGGTTTAACTGTGCACCAGAGGCTAACCCTTATCTGGTCCATTACAGGGCCAGGATCACCAGCCCCAAATATTATACAAAGACCCTAAATAATCACATATTAGAAACAATTCTATGTTCTGGTCTTTGTTTCTCTTTCTTCTAGGCCTTTGGAATGAAGTATCTTTCATTATTAAGCATAGAATCTGCCATATTAAGATCTGACAGAATCTATTCCTTAATGGGTGGTGGATGAGCTAAGTATTGACTTGCAGCTCCTTTCTAGGCCCTTGAAACTAAGTGTTTTTTGTGTTTACTTAATTTAATAGAAGGCAACATTTTCTCATGGTTCTAGGAAGAAAGGTTTAGAAGATAAGGTTTGGATTAATCCTTAGAACAAAAACTGAGGCTTCCCTATATAAACAACACAGTCAGCTAGGGCAAGATACAACCCATGGCATTCTTTTTTAAGAAAAGAACTTTGCATTTTATTTTGAGAAAGTTTGGCATGCTGTTCTGTATATTCCCTATATGGCCTTGTCTACGGCTACCTCCTAAAATTCCACACTCTGTGCTCTGACCTTAGGTCTTGCTGTGTGTGGGCTGGTCTGGCCAGTCATCTTCCATTCCAAGCAGCACTAGTCTTGGATGGGATTTGCTCCCTAGGAATTTTCTCCAGTTAAGAGCTCAGATTTTTAGATCCTTGTGAAAGGAGGGAGAGTGACATCTAGTGGAAAAGTTTCTGCAAGCTGCCCCCTCCACCAAATCAATTCCTTTTCTTTTTTTGCCACCCTTTGAAATGTTTGAAAACTATTCAAGTATCTCAATTTAATCAGCATTTCTATAATCTCAGTTAAACATATTAGTTTCCTTCTGTCTGGTATTTAAACAATTGCTGCTCCACCTTGATCTGTGGAATGCAGGTAGGTGGTTCCTGCCTTCTAGGTCAAAGTTGGCTTTTTGGCTCCTTCTGATTTTATAATCCAACATACATGCATGCACGTGCACACACAGAGTATACAGATTTCTCCCTTACCCACATTCTCTCTTTCTCCCCAAATACATGCATTTCCTCCCCACACACACACCAGCTGTTCCCATCGCACACACCCTCCCAGTCCCTTATGTATATGAATAGAGATTACTGTTTCTTGTTTCATAGTGCCTCCTATGGAGGCCAGGCCAAAGTCCTGTGGATATCAGTAGATAGCACAGAAGTGGCAGAATTGCTATTGTGTACACCTCCTGAACAGCAGCTCTGTCAGGAACCTGACCTCCCCTCCCAATGCCACTTTTCACTTGTTCACTTCACTGGTTTTGACTTAGTTGCATTTCATTTCACTGCTGCCTCTAAATCCTTCCCTTCTCTAGTTTCAGGCATCTTCCCACTCTTTAGTGTGCTCCAAATACTTCTGTAGCTCAGGAACCATACAAGGTTTTAATCCCAGCTAAACTGACAACTTCCACTTCCTTCACAGAAGCAAACATTTTGCTTGCTTTGTGTCCAAACCAGGTGGAATATCTGAGACTTTGTATCTGCTCAGCTAATTTGTACTGAAGGGTTTTATGCCACATGCTCAATACAATATAGATGAGCCTGCTTGTGCATGATCAGGTCTACATGGGCCCTGGAAGCCTTAGTTTTGAGCACTTTTTGTTTTGTACTAAACTATTCAATCAATATTCTTATTTTACATTTCAAATAAAAATATTAGAAAGCAGTAAAAAGTGTAAATAAAATGGAGTACATTGTTATGTTTCGTCTTCTAAGAGTTTAGAAGGCAGTCTCTAGCACTTCATTTTGTCTTGCTTTTATTTTGTTGTGCTCAAAGATTTTAAAAGTGTATAGGGTTAGGGTTAGCTATTGCTATTACACATTCACTTATTTATGCTTCCAAAAACTAGGACATTTTTAGTGAAAGAATTCTGTCTTAACATCCATACCATTTAAGCAGTCCTGTAGTCTCAGTTACCATTAGGCCTTTAGTCCCATTTTTGCTGTTACTCTTTAAGATTGTGCAGTGGCGAGAAAAGAGTGCAATCTTGTAATGCACCATTTTTCTTATTGCCATAGTACCTTATGTTTGTCTAGGGGGAAAGAGAGAATCCAAGTCTCAGGCAGAGTGGATCATAACATCCATGTTGCTCCTTTTATCACTTTAGTACAAAAACAGAGAGAAACTCCAAATTCAACTGGAAAAGAGATTGGTATATAATTATAGTGACTTTTTCCCTTATGTCACTGGAGCATCTTTGTTTAACTCAGGGATGGGCAGCCTGCAGCCAATGCTCTGATTTCATGTGAACCTCAGCCTAATTCTCAAAACCTTCTGCATGCAGTCAATGCAGACCTCTGGCAAGAACAACCTGCCCTTTCTCTGGAAACCTGCTGGGCAGGAATGTAGAGGGAGAGAAAGAAAAGGCAGTAACAGAAAGCAAAAAGAAGAGAGAGAGAGAGAGAGAGAGAGAGAGAGAGAGAGAGAGAGAGAGAGAGCGATCGATCGATCCTCTCATTTGGATCTTGTCCTGCCAACTGACATTAGGCTGCCCCTGCCTCATATCCACAAGGAAATACAGTTCTCACCAAAGGAAATGTCACCCACCTGTAATTGAACCCAAAGCAATCTTGACAGATGAGACAGACAGCACTGACCTTATTTTCCACTCAGCCACTCCAGCTTCCATGGGCTTTTCCAGGCAGAGTGCATGGAAGCACATCGCAATGCACCAGTGAGGCAGGAGGCTCAAAGAACTGTTGTTCGAATGTGCTTCTTTATGGATCTTCATTGTGCAGTAACTGGTCTGTTGGGGAGCACGGATGGGGTTTGAGCAAAGCAGTTTCCTTGCATAAATAGTAGGTCTGGAATGGAAAGGACCAAGCAAAAAAAAAAAAAAAAAAAAAATCAACCAGTCCAGCTTGATATATGCATAGCAAATGGTTTTCTGCCTGAGGCCTAACAGGCACAGTATCACACAGCCCCTCCAAGATGTGTTGTAATTATTCAGGCAGGTGCTTTCCATATACCTTTCTTTATTCATCTGAGACATACAGCTGCTGCATGTGCTGATGAGACCCCTCATATCAGACTAAACATGACATCAGGCCACACAAATCAACCCAGTACAGACCAGACTTCATGGCCTGTGGATGTAACTTCAGCAGCTTTGTCTTGATACTCTCCTTCCCGCCCCCGCCCCCTTTCACAACCATCAGAACTAATAGGAGAAAAAACTAGCAAGCACTCCTTTTTCTGATGATTTGTTTTAAAGCATGACTTAAGCAGCTCAGTAGTTGAAAGCAAGTCTGGAGCAAAAGGACAGGAGAAAAAGAGGGGACATGGATATGATAATGAGAGACTTAGAAATTAATATGAAAAATTATTGTTTTCATAAATACTATCATGCAAAAGGTTTTAAAGCTGTTTTCCTCAGGCAGGTGACCACCAGATGTATTGACTACAACTCCTAACATTCCCAGCCAGATGTTAGGAGTTAATAGCCCAACACATATGGGGATTCTAGGCTGGGAAAAATGGCTTTAAAGTTTTTCTCCAGGGTAATGAGGCTAAAAATGATACAAATTAGTAGGAAGTACAGAGACAGTACTGATCAGTCAGGGTCAGAAAAGAGGGAGCAAGCAAGGGAGAATGTTCTTGAGAAAGACAGATTTACAGGCAGTAATAACCACTGCAAACCAAGCCTAAGATAAATTGTTACTTTATGAGACTGCAAAGCTATAAATTAATTATCTGTGTTAAGTCCAGTTCTATTTCCCAGGGGAAATAACACTGAGAAAGTATTTCATCCATTCATCAGGGATGACTCTTAGGGTACCAAAACAAGAATTCAATTAATGTTGATGAAGTTTAACAGCATGCACCATAGCATACTGTGTTTCCTAGTCTTCCTCCATTTGTTTCAGTAGATGATCATGCTTTGGGGAACCAGGTCCTGCTTTATTTAAAAGCTTTTTTTATTACAGCTTTCAGCAGAAAGATAAAACCTAAAATCAGAAGAATGCTGGAAGAACAGAATAGTACAAACTTAAATGAAATAACTTGTCATCAGATAAATTGGATTTACAGCATTCCCAAGTCAAGAGAGACCACAGAAGTTAAGTTTGGAGAAAAATAGAGAGAAAGAAATGGGAATAAAATAATACATGCATTATTAATCAAAGAACCCAACAAAAATTAGGGTGGTCCCACACAGAGGGTTTCTAGTACCACCAGTTAAAAGACATTTTGTAGATATTCCATCTTTTTGATCCTTAATGGATTTTATGTTGTAAGAAAAAAGATAAAAATACTGGTGGGAAAATAGAGGCGGGTGCTGAATGGAGAATGTCATTTGGACCTCCATAAAAAACTGTGAATGAGGCAGGGTGATGTCATTATAAATGCCTTGTCTGCAAGCATCCCTGATCTCCCCCAGCCATCAATCCAAGGAAATATTTATTTGCATACATTTGCATGGGTGGATTCAGAATAGTGCTAAGTGGACTTCTGCTCATGCAGGAAGAAGAGGGCAGCATGTGATCTGCTCGATTCCTTCATCCTACTCATCCTGAAAAGTTAGCCTGGAAGGTTGTTTGGAGACCCTCCACCCACATTTCACATCAGGAGTAGGCATGACTGGTGACCTGCTGAGGATCCACACCCCAAGGGACCACAAAACTAAAGTTGACACTCGTTCAGGACAAAATGAGAGGGGAGGCAGGGAGCTGCAAGAGACAGTGGGAAATCATTTCCCTGCCCCCTTCCTCCAAAGGGGAGCATATGATGCTGATTCTTGCATCTGGTAACATAAAGCTGACAGCAGAGGACAGAAGAGAGTAAATAAGGTGTCTATCAGGAGTACTTGCTAGCAAGAACAAATTTAGAATTACAAGTGGAACCTGCTGTCCCAAAATGTTTTAGTGTGTCCTCTCTCTTACAGAGGAATCCTCCTGTTCAGAGCTCCAGGATCCCTCAGACAGATATAGACCTGTTGTGCAGAAGCTGGAAAGAATCCAGAGAATCACTGACTACTCATAAGCAGAAAACCAAACTAACAACAGTGCATTGGCTATATACATATTGATCTGGTGATGTACCTTCTATATAGTTATAGTGCAAAATGGGGGAAAATTAATTCATTGAACTGCAACTCCAGACAGGTCTAGTCAGGATAGCCAATGGTGAGGCATGATGGGAGTTGCAGTTCAACAATATGCACCATCCCTGCTATAGATACACATTGATCCTGTAGTTTGGAGTGATGTGTCCCAAACACTACAATCAGAACAGAGTAATAATAATGGCTGCACTACTTCATATTGGAAAGGCTGGTGTGATTGACAGCAGAAACGCCTTATATAAACAAAGTATGCAAACACAGAATTTAAGTATTAGAGGGAAGGAGAGGAAATAAGAGAAAGGAATCCATCAAGTTGCAGGACAACAAGGGGGATGAAGAAGTCAAGTAGCTGTTGATACAACACATTCTCTGTCACTTCATAATGTCTGAAGACAGGAAGAACTGCTCCTACTATCCAACAATTCAACATTACATGGAATTTTATGCAACGATGACTGGCAAATTTCATCCTTTGGAATTCTGCAAGCAATCCCTTCATTTATCATTTGAGCAAACAGGGATCTGGCTGGGAAAAAGCACTATCCCCATATGTGGATTGGGGAGATGGGTACAATAGTACAGCAGTTATACGAAGTTCTCTGAAAAATTAGAAGTTTCCCCATTGAAGCACTATTGCTATGAAATGGGCACAGGGGAATGAAACCATGTTCCATGGCTCAAGCTCTTTCAAGGAAAAATGGGCTAGAAATAAAATATGTTCAAGGATCAATTTAAGCCAAAGCTCAATCCTGGATCCTGTTTTTTATTATTTGTTTTAGGTATGAGTGGTTTAAAATAATTTTTGTGAATGTTTTACAAAGTAAATATCACATGTAGAATTACCCAGTTCCCTGTTCTCAGGCTTACAGTAATAGCCTCCAATATATCACTCTAAGCATTTCAATTTATTGTCCATGAAAAAGATATTTAAAGGAAGTGGGTAGCTGTTTTTCTTCTTTCTCTGCCTTACTAGTGAGACAGTTCAACTCCCAGGATAGGTAAGGCTGTATTTTAACTTCTCATTCCCTGAGCAGCATTAAATACAGTTAGCATGTCCTTTTCTCCCATAGGGCTCCTGTATCTTTATCAACTGCATGGCAAGAAGAAATGTAATAGCTACAGGTTTCACCAATAGAGCTGCCTTCACTTGCTGCATCCACCTACTAAACTGAAAGCATAATGCCTGCTCAAAATATATCTAAGGCAGCACTAGCATTGTACTATGCATGTATGCTTTAAGTCCTCCATGCAACTCAACAGCTTTTTTGGAGACTGGTTACTGTGGATTGTTTTCAAATCAGTGCTCTCTGAGACTCACAGGGCAACTACAACTCTAAACAGGTTTACTCATAAGGAAAACTCTTTGACTTAAATGGAACTTTCTCCCATTTGTATAAGTGTGTATAGCAGGTGTGCAGCCTGGTGGAGGCTATGTGAACCTGCCAACCACAATTGTGCAGGCCTTCAGAGTTGGGTTATCCCAATGCCTGTTTCTTACTTGTCTTCTTGAGGGTTATGCACATTCAGCAGTAACTTCTTGTTAACAGATTTGGGGGGGGGGGGGGGATAAGCTTCAGTATCTCTCAAGTCCCTTCTGTCCTTTGATTTCCTGACATGAAACAAGAGTTGTTCTATCTCAGTCAGGTGGATAGCTGCGGTTCATACAGTTAAAGCACAAACTTAAATTGTTTCTACATCAAAGCCCTTTTCTCTGGAGTGCTCAACCTTTCTTCACATCTTATTTTTGAAACATCTATTGGATATGGTTATCCATTCACTGATTTCCAGTATTTCATGTGATGTAGCTCTTTACAGACCCAATTTTCTGGCCTTTTATACTGGTGGGGGAAGGGGGGAGGACATGGTTGTAATAAAACACAGCTGCAGCACTAGTGGAACCAGTATGGATAAGTATGACTGCAACTTTAAGAAGTTCTTGTGCTTTTAATTAAACTCTTCCTGTCACATATTCAACCTACAGTAGACTCTTGACTATCCGGCTCGCGACTATCCAGCCTCCGTACTATCCGGCCTAGTTAAAAAATAACTAACAATGAACAATAAAATAAGTTTAAATAATTTTTGTAAGAATTAAGCCTACGTTTTACGTTAATGTTTTGTTTATTTTAAAAGTACAGTGTACATGATTTTATGTTTCCTGCAATTAAGTTAGACATCATAAAATTTATCTTAAAATGTGTACAATATTTTTATCCTTGGACTTCCTTTTTCTGTAATAAATTTTTAAAATGTACAGTACAGTAAATAACAAACATTTATAAAGTACTGGCCTGTACTAAGAGGTCAGAAAATATGAATAAGAGTGGGTTTTGGTATAAAAAGGGTGTTTTTAATGGTATGGGTGGGGTAGGAAGTGAGCATTTATAGAACTCTGGCCTATCCGACTTTTTTGTTATCCGGCCTGCTCTTCCGCCACATTAGGTTGGATAGCTGGGAGTCTACTGTATTTCCAATTAGCACAGGTGAGGAATTACTGACAAAGAACCTATAAGTTGCATCTTGAATAATAGCTTATTTTAAATAATTGCCCTAGTGGCAGGGGAAGGTGCTGAATACTGACTTCGTAGTCTTCCTGCCTCTGTCTTTTTTTCAGAGTGAATTACCTTATTCAGCCCTTTACACAGAGCCATGCTATTCAGTAGTATTTTAACAGTCTAGTTTAAAAGTAGCTTTGTTATGCTGCAAGAACTAGGTTTGCTTGTTTTTGTGCTGCATGAATTTTTTTCTACACAAGGACCAAGTTCCACACTCCCTGTCAAGACCACCTGAAAAAGTTACAAAGTACTTACATTGTGGGGTGGGCTCTGTTTTTATGGCTCATGCAATAACATTCACCACTGATACAAAGCTTCAGAGAGAAAGCACACCTCTGGATCTCCAAAGAGCTATGGAGACCCTGTAGCTGGATGATCGATGTGAAAATGGAAAATGTATAACTAGATGTTATCAAGCAATGAAGTAAATGGCAGACTGCTTAGAACAGGGATCAGCAACCTGGTGCCCTCCAAATGTTCTGGCATACAGCTCTTGTAAGATGCAGCCAACATAGTGAATGGTGGCAAACTGTGGAAAGTGAGGTCCAGAACATCTGGAGAGCACTGGGAAGCCTACCCCTGATGCAGGACAACCTCCCTTATTGTTGTGCTCTCCAGATATTTGAGATTACCATTTCTATCAAGCACAGTCAGAAATGGAGGAAGTTGTAGTCCAAAAGATGTGAAGGGCACCAGGTTAGGGAAGGATGATATAAAAGCAACCAGTAGCTGCTGTTAGTGGAGGCTTCTATGATGTGCACCTGAGCAAGATAAGGGGCTTTTCTAGAGCTCAGCATCTAAAAAGCCTACATAAAATGTTGCTGCAGATCATATGGTAGGTGACCTGCTTGGCCTTTCTGGCATTCTGGTCTTTCTGCACTGACTGCCTCCTTTTAAGCTGGCTGAAGATGCTCTTCAGCAAGAAGTTGCACTGAAACAATTTTTGTGGACAAGTAATGTGGACAGAAATAAGTACCAATAAGTACTTCTTAGTAGAAGTAAGTACCCCCACAGTCCATAAATATTCATCATTGTAGGGCCTTATGCCTCTGGGCAAAAAGCTTTCTAAGCTTTTGCAGCAAAAGGCTTAGCAAAAATAGCATTTCTCGTGCTATATGATAGAAAGATAATAATCAACAATCCTTGCAGAACAGTTTCCTCAGGTTTTAACATCCCAGAATCATCCCTAGAAAAGGGTTATGCTTCTGTATGGCCTGATGTGCCTGATCTTGGAAGCTAAGCATGGTCAGCCATTGTTAGAATCTGCATTGGATGGAATGAGTCCTGCACTGAGGAGGGGGTTGGACTTGATGATTTTCTAGGCCTCTTTCACCTGTATGATTCTATGATGTGATATTTTCCACCTTTGCACATAGTCTTCCTTGTTGTCTCAGCTTGTGCCTGCATGGGGTGCAGACAAGGCAGCCATGACAGTCTCCTATACCTTGAAAGTGGCCAATGCACGCTTTGGGGGCTTCTCCAAGTTGCTCTTCCGCTGGAAAGGGAGCATCTACAAGCTGCTTTACAAGGAGTTTCTTGTCTTCATCTTTCTCTATGCAGCTCTCAGTATCTTCTACCGGTGAGTTGAAAACACAACCCGTAAGTTAAAACAATTAGGCTCACATCGCAAGACTGTGCACCCTGGGACTTTGCACACAGCCCTCTGCTAATGGTCTTCACTGTAAGCAGAACTATCTGTTATCTGCAACTCTGCCTAAGGGCTTCATCCTGCCTGCAGATATTGCCCACCCCATCTGCTACCTTCTAAGGTGCCTCTAGGAGGTGGGGCTCTGAAGCCAGGCCTACCCACTGGAGAAATCCCTGCTAGAATAATACTGTGGATGGGAGAATGCCAGTGGGGTTGCAACCCATGTGGCACCTCCCCTGTTGGGGCTACTGAGAGGACACTGGAGGAGCATTCCTCCTTAAGATTATGAAAAGAAGTTCAAAAACTTGTGGGCCATGTTCCATGAGGTGCATGAAGGGGGGGGGAGCTCAGGTCAATTCCAGTTTTCTTGCAGTATACAGTAATCCTTTCTACCATATGTTTCGGTATTTATTTATTAAATGTATATCCCGCTTTATTTCTGCTTGTAAGGGATGTGAGGTGGTTTACATTATCCTCCTCCTCTCCATTTTTATCCTCACAACAACCATGTGAGTTAGAATACGGTGAGAGACCATTGTTTCATTCCATTGTACTGGCCCATTGTTTCCTTTTACCCAAGTTCTCTTATTCACCCCAAATGATAGACAAGGTTCCAGTCTTTATCCACAGCCATTCAGAGGCTTCAAGCAACAGGGTTCATTCCCAAAACGTATTCACATCTTATCTCCCTAGCCTTCTTGAGGGTAGAAGTACATTTTGCCTTGTCAGGGGGTGCAGAACTCTTTTAGCTTGAAGGCCAAATTCCACTTCAGGGAAGCTTTCAGGAGACACATTTCAGCAGGGGGCAGGATAGAAAGCAAGAGGAGTGGGGCCCAAACACCAAAAATATCAGCATATTTTTGCTTGAAGTCTCACAACCATTTCAACCTTTTACAGTGGGGGTGGGGGTTGGATAAAAGCTGGGAAACCTTCAGGGGAACAGGGTGAGGCTAGGGCAAAAGACTGGGCCTCTGGACTTGAGGACAAGCACATCCTGCCATGTTTACTGAGATGACAGGAATGTGGGCATGAGGCACTTGTGAGAGAAAATCCCTGGGAGGGAGGGAGAGGCTTTACTTCACTCCCCACCTCACCTTGATGTTATTTGCCCTATTTTTTATTTACTAGATTTATATTCTTTTCACTGTATATTCAAAAATTCATACAATCTGCATTTTAAAAAACTCTGAAAGTGGCTTGGCTTACCCCTTCTTTTAGAGCCTTTCAAGGGATTGTGGTGGGGCCAGGGAATGAAGGTGTGTTCAGAATGGCCTTTGGGGGAGAACTGGTAAGGAGGAGATTTTTGCACCCTCATCTCTGCATTAATACAAGGGAAACACAGGACTGCCCTCTGTTGTAATCTGTAGTTCTGCTGTAATATTTTAACTCTTCAAGTGGCAACAAGGTAATAACACAAATGCTTACTGCCAGAGATGTCTGCATTGTTTTGGCAGGTAATTATTTGAGGTCTCCAACCCACTTCCAAGGAGTTCAGATTAGCTGAAATGCTAGGCTTAAGTAGATGGACTGGAAGCTGCAGATGACTCTTTCCTCATGGTGTTAAAGGCATCCAGAGATCACTTTTGCTGTAACTGGCTCCTGAGTGGATCTGTTCAGCTGGACTCATCCATGGGCAGGAAGTATTAGGAGAAAGAGGGAATTTGAGCTATTATACAGGCAAATCCCTGTTTAGTCCATGCCACTCTGTCTTCCATTGAATTGTAGTTGTTAACAGTACATGTTCAATCTCCACAAATTTCATTAAAATTGATCTGTTAAAAAAAAAAAAAAAAGCAACTTCTGGTTTTGGATTCACAGCCACTAAGCACAGATAGAATCCTAATTTCTCTCATAGATATGCTTTGGAAGGGTGGAAAGTATTCCTTGTTTCACTTTTAACTTCCCTAGTTGTAAGCATAGCAAACAGTAAAGTAACTATTCTATTTCTTGGGTATTTTTGCCTTCATCAATGCCTAGTTTATGGCACTCTGCCAACCTCTAGTGGTAATGCTATGTTATAGCAGGGCTCAGCTTGTGTTCTTGTTTAATAAAATAAAAATGCATACACACCATGCTACAATTAAAATCTGATACTCTTTCCCCAGGCACCTTCTGAATAAGGAGCAAAAAGATCTTTTTGATAAAGTGGCTCGGTTCTGCAACAGGTCTACTGAGCGCATCCCCTTGTCTTTTGTCCTTGGTATGGTTTATCTACATGCTCTTGATTGTATGCCTTTCCACAGTTTGTTGCTTGCTTGATGTATTTGGCTCAGAGGGAATGGTATGCACTGGATAAAAACCCCTGTACTTGCTCAGATCCTAACTTCCTGTCAGGAAGGTCATAACTTGGTGGCAGAGCCAATGCATGCTTTTCATGCAGAAGGTCCCAGTTTCACTCTCCAGCATCTCCACTAAGAGGGGTTAGAGGGTAGGAAAAGGGAAAGACCACACTCTGCCGGAGACCTTGGAAATCTACTGCCAGTCAGAGTGGATAATAAAAGGCTATGTGGGAAAATCATCTGAGGTGGTATCAGATACCTGCCTTGGAAATGGGATCTTAGAAGCCCTATACCAAAGCTAAACATTGCAAACAAGTGGTGAAAACAGTATTATTTCTCCGTGGATTTTCTATCTGGCATTTCCAGTTCAAGGACAGGCAAATCATGTACAAGCAAATCAAAGCATGGACTGAACTGTCAGCTAGCCAAGACTGGAACCTGAGAAAACCTGGATCCTTCTAATAGAAATGGAAATGTTTTTGCACATGCATTTTAATCATATCTGCACCCTTCCATGAGTAAATGTGCAACATACCCTACTTGGGCTTACATACCTGTTTGAAATCTAGTGAGCCTAGCTTTACTTTGGTCCTGTTCAGGCATGCCAGCCCGGTACATTGGAATGAAAAGAAAAGAACCATCAGAATTATGACATTCTCAAATACAGTCTTCTCTGTTGCAATGCATCAGCTTTCTCCAAACAACTAAGAAATAATTTAGATAGAACTGTGGATCACATTTCAGCACAGAGCTCAGGAGTGATAGTTTCCAGCAATCCCAGCTCTTAACTACACTAAGCACTCCGTTTTTATAATTTCCTCCAAAAGCTGGGAGGAGAATCCTGGAATCTTTGTTTTCAGATTCCTTTCCAGTTCTCCATCCCTCTAAATGCCATTTCCATTCCACAGATGGAAAGAAAACGCAGGGATCTTGGGTCCTTGCCCATGTTCTCCTCTACCTCAAACTCACTAGATCCCACCCTGCCCCACCTCCATTCCTCTGAAGCAGAGAGTGAATCCTACAGAATAGTCTGAGATTGCAAATCTTCACTGTGATCCATTCTGCTTCTCTCCTTTAATTTCTTGGTCCATGCTTCCATATAATCTCTGGACAGAAGGGGAAGTTCTGTATACTCAGAGAAGGGATGACTGAAGAGGAAGAGGTAGTGCTTGCTATAAGAAGGAAAAAGAAGTGTAGGAGTAGAAAGTGGATAATTAAAATTTAAAGGGAAGTGGCCATATAGCAGGTAAGAGAATATATGTCTAAATGATGTTTAGCTACTCTAGCAAAAACTCAAAAAAAAAAAAAAAGAAAAGAAAAGAAAAGAAAACCAATTTACCTAGGGAGGTTGTGAGCTGTCCCAATCTAACGACATTCAAGTGGCAATTGGACAGCCATCTGTCAGGGATGCTTTAGTTTGTGGTCCTGCATTGAGCAGGGGGTTGGACTTGAAGGCCTCTTCCAGCTCTACTATTCTATGATTCATGCTGGATGCTTCAGTATAAATGGACTGTTAGTTTAGCCCATAATTATTTCAATTTATATGCTGCTACACTAGCTCATAGCTGAGTTCTCTGTGCAGCTTACAACAATTAAAACAACAAAACATTCTAAAATCAATAACACTAAATCATTGATAACATGCCCAAAATATAAAAAACATAATCCAACAAAATTAAAATATTACATAAAAACCATGAATAAAATAATTTAAACTAAAATCAACTATAAACCAGGAATAGGGTCAATTAAAATCAAATTACCTTTAAATCTATTACAATAGCTGGAGAAGAGTGATGTATTTACCTTGTGATGAAATAATAACAGCAATGGCACCAGGTGCACTTCTCTGGGGTGCCTATTTCAGAGGTGGGTTGCAACCAATGAGAAGGCCCTTCTTCTAGCCACCATCCCTCTCACCTCCCTGAGTGAAAAGGACCTATTCACTTGATCATAAGTGAAACTCTTTCTTTCCTGATGGAGGAAATAATTTACTGGCTGCTGGGTTTAATCTGTTTTTGAAACTGTTTTGCAAAGCTTCCTCTAAGGTCATCTAGTTCTTCTATCTGAACAGTCTGGAGTCATCTGGTTTTAGTTTGTTTTTCCTAGAGTTAAGAAATAAAATCATTGTGAACAATGATTTTATGGGCAGGTCTGTTGCTTTGTGGAGAAGCCCACAGAATGCTATTAGAAAGCAGGAAGCAGACTGTTTTCTTGGGAAATCTGCAACAGCAGGGGAAAACTCCTGTTTGTTTAAGAAAGTTTGAGGGTTTTACTTGTGCAAACATTGATAAGAACAAATGTTGGATTTGTCCCCATCATTCCCTGCCAAAATCCCTGACTATTTTTAAAAAATAAATTTGCACTCCCATGGGACTTCTTTTGGTGGGGGATATTTTTTGGCTTCACCGATCTAAAAAAGTGTGGTTATTTCTCACTGAAGCAAGAAAGTGTTGCTAGAAAAGAGAGATTTCAATGGATAAAGTTTACAGCTTGTTGAAAATTATGTCATCCAACCCTAAGCACCTTGACAATTTCACAGAGAAATGGTACCCATGCAGAATATTTGAAAGATTTTTGGGAATAGCAGGTAATATCTAACTATATACCTTTGCACTGGATAACAAAATTGTTTATTTACTGAATAGAAAATAGCTAGCTCTATGCTACATGGTATATTAGATAATTTGCTACCAAGTGATGAATGTAAGCAAGAAACAGAGTTTCATAAATCTCAATTTTTAACTTTGTAACTGTTTTGCTATTTTTTTTTCTCTTCTGTAAAATGTATTATAAAACATTAAAGCCCCCAAAAGATTTTAAAATAAAAATAAGGTTTTTCTTCTCTTATGAGATACTGCAGGCAAAGTACAGCCTGCATGTAGTCTGTGCTACCTTGAAATAAAAAATGGAACTAAAGAAGCTAAATTCAATCCCAGCAGTGATTGGTAGCATTATAGTTTGAAACAGATGGTTTTGCTTTTTTTCTCCTTTTCAGGGGGCAGAGAGACTGCAGTCCATGGATGGGTATAGGTAGTTGTGGGGTGAATGTGGCCACCAGATCCCAGAGCACTGCCCACTCCTATTATATAGAGGCCAATAATGAGGGAGGTGTTGAGGTGCAGAGGTACGTAGAGCACAGAGAAGTTCCTGGGTTCAATCTCCAGGCAGGGCTAGGAAAAATCTTCAGCCTAAAAACCTGAGGAGCTGCTACTAGTCAGTGTTGACAAAACTGAGCTAGATGGACCATTGCTCTAACTTAGTATAAGGTATGATATGATGGTCCTAATGTATAAAAACATTAGTAATTAAAACCAGCTTCTGGAATTAAAATGAGCTGAACTTCACAGCTCCTAGTTTGGACATCCTCAGATTGTAGCAGTTCTTTTTGCGTGATTACCTTAAGATCCCATCTACCAACAGTTAATATCTTTTCTTCACATGAGGCAGGCTTCTATGTCACACTGATTGTGAACCGTTGGTGGGCCCAATATACCAGCATCCCATTGCCAGACCAACTGATGTGCGTCGTTTCCAGCAACGTGCATGGAAAGGATGAGAAGGGACGAATCTTGCGGCGCACGCTCATCCGTTATGCCAACTTGTCATCTGTCCTCATTCTGCGCTCAGTCAGCACCAGGGTGCTTAAGAGATTCCCCACTATGGACCATTTAGTGGAAGCTGGTGAGCTTGACTTGGGATGGACAGGAAGTTTGAGGGTGGAGAGAAGATCCTTCAGGGTGAGAGTGGATGAAACAGAGCTTCTCAACTTGGACAGCATGCCTCAGTTTTTTTATTGTATTTGTACATTTATATCCTACCTATCCTCTAAGGTGCCTGGCGCAGCATACACAATCCTCTTCCTCTCAATTTATCTTCACAACAAGCCTGTGAGGTAGGTTAAGCTGAGAATCAGTGATGGTCCAAAGTCAGCCAGTGAACTTCATGGCTGAAGAGGGGCTAGGAACTGGGTCTTCCCAGTGCCAGTCCGATGTTCTTACCATGAACCCACACTGGTTCAGCTGCCAATTAAAGCAACCATCAGGGACACATCTCTCTTAAGGTTTAATATTGCACAGACAGTCATAACATTATCATTCCTACACTTTGCTCCTTTTGTTTTGACTTGCTGATCTTTATTATTTCAAGCAGAAACTCCATAAATGCCACCATCCCCAAAGAATCTGAAACGCAAGTGTAGCCTCAGGGAATATTACCAGGGATGAGTCCACTGCTCCCTGAGAACAGCAGAATCTGTGCACACAGAGGTCATACTTCTTTTGATAAGCCATATTCCATGAAAATTCTAGGGGAGTTTATAGAATATATTTCAAATATATTCTACCTTTTAAGGCTTTTTGGAAGATAAGCTGGAATATGAATAGTAATAAATGAGGTTTGTGAAGGAAAGAGGCTAGGACAAATCAAAGGATAGGGAAAAGGCAAAACTTTCTCCCCTGCCATTTCTCCTATTTAATTCCCATGTCCCAAAGTGGCCTACTTTTTGGAAAAAGGATGCCATTCATATCCATTCATATTTAGCACTTTGTGCCTCAGGGCTGAGGGGACAGAGTGGCAGTGAAACATCCTCCAGTGTTGCTACTTCTTACTAAAGCCCAGCATTGCTGGTGGCTCCCTGATGATTTTCCCAGTTTCAAGAAGCAGGAGGCAAGTGGTTGATTTCCAGTTTTTCCTTTCCCAGGTTTTATGACACAGGATGAGTACAATAAGTTCGAAAGTCTCCACTCAGACTTCAACAAGTACTGGATCCCCTGTGTGTGGTTCACCAATCTAGCAGCCCAGGCACGGCGTGATGGAAGGATCCGGGATGATGTGGCACTCCGATTGCTCATGGATGTAAGCAGCAAGGATGGGGACAGTGGAGGGGCTTCCTAGCAGACAAGCCTAAACCAACCTGTTCCATGTTTTGCATCACCTGCCAGGATCAACTTAGTCCTAGGGTTTGGGTAATGGAAAACTTAAATCCAAGTACACTGAAGGATTTTTTGCTGTATGCATAGAAAAGGGACTTTTGCTTGGTGCCTCTAGCACTGTGACTTTTGCCATAAGGTAGTCTTTCCCAGATTAGTGCATTCCAGATGTTTTGGACTGTAATTTCTGATTATTGGTCATGATGGCTGGATTGCTGATGGTTGCTGAAACACCTGGAGAGCATAAGTTTGGGAAAGGCGGCTGAAAAAAATCACATCTATGCTACAGAAAGCAGCAGCTTATTCAGTTTCTTACCAACAAAAAATCAGTCTTCTCAGTTGGATCCAGATTTCATTATAACCACATATACCCATTAAAATGAACTGAATTAGCCACACACAAATTAAGTCCCACTGTTGTTAGCAAAGTCTACACTAATTATGAATAAAACTGGATCTAGCCTATTGACAGGTGGGAGAAAAAAGGATTGAGATTTCATCAAGTTACAGATATTCTAGAATCTAGCCAGAGGAATGTGCAAACCTTGAAAGAATGTGCCTTTCTCTATAAAAGGAGCTGAACCACTACCGCTCTAAATGCAGCATGCTTTTTCACTATGACTGGATCAGCATCCCGTTGGTATACACGCAGGTGAGTAAAGAGAACCTTGCATACTATGGCTATCATAATACTGAACTATCAACAGTAGACCAGGCTATGTAAAATCAATAGTCAACTGCCATTCAAAATGTCTGTGCATCACTACAGCACAATCTTATTGCAAGTGTTAGCTTTAAGGATCATCTTTTGTACTGCAGAAAAAAAGTAAATTTCTATCCTTCGTATCTTGGTGAAACGTATGAAAATGCACAGGCTTCCTTGGAGTATCTTATTTGATCTTCTAAGCCTACCATCACTACTTTAATTTTTTAAAAAAAAACCTGAGTAAATCAACAGAATCGTTGCCCTTCCTTCTGAATATTTCATACACCTGACTATCCTTTTTATGGACCCCTTCCACCTACCCTTGTTATATGTCCCTTGGCATTCCAGATCATACCTACTTCTGTGTGACTGAAACCTAGTTGGCAGAAACAGTAAACCCTTTTTATTTTCCCATTATTTTAAGGTTTGAGTCTGATTTTAATGTGGGGTTTTATTATATAGAAAATCAATTTAGATGCTGTGCTCCACTTTGTTTTATTGTAAGACTGACCTGAGACCATGGTAGTGGATGGTATATATAAGTTTTAAATAAACAAACAGTAAAGAAAGCAATAAACCTGGGTCAGGACCACATGATTGCCTGTAGCTACTAAATGCTCCTTCCTACATAAAATGCCCTGCACATAAGAACTAGCATATCAGGGGAAAAGATTTAATGCAGTTTTCTGTAATCTTATTGTCTGGGAACATACACCAAATTAGCTTCCACTTGCAGCCTTAAATGGTGCTGTTGAGAGAGAAGTTTGATACCTCCTGAGAGAACAGGTCAGAGTCTCAGAGAGACTGGCTTTCTCTTGGACACCAGTATCCTGATCTCAGCAGGGATGACTATATACCAAATGGAGCTCATCCAAGGCAAAGGTGGGTTTTGATGCCTTTTCTATTTGTTCAGCTTTTGAATAATTCAGTTTGCAACATTGCAGCTATAGCCCATTACACAATTTGCATGTATATGTAGCCTTGACATATGACAACATATGGAAGTCGATACCTTATCTGATAGCATGGGCACTGATGTTGGCAGTTTACTCACAAATTAACACACACCCCACCCACACGTTAATATGATGCTGACCATGCAAATCCCCAGTATTGATAATTGTATAGTAGCATCCTGAGTTCTGTAAGTGATGGATATTTACATAGCCAAGATGGCACTATCCACGCACTCCAGAGAGCTATCAGCAGGCTCAAGGGAACACCAAGGTTTGCAGAGTACAACCTCTTTCCAAGATACAATGAGGACTGAAGACAATCAGTGGCCATGGACAGCTAGCCAATTGTTGAGGGGTGGTCAATGGAAATTAAGAAAAAAGCAAGGACTGCAGAGATGGAACAGAGTAGAAGGGATTCCACACAAGAAACTCCAAGCTGCAACAGCTTAGTCCCACTTGTTTGTGCAATTCGTTTCAATTGTTAGACTGATAGCCTTGATAGCCCATGAGAGACATGCTCACACCCAGTCTACCCCAAGCCCAGCAATCTAGGTGGTCAGCTGGGTTAACCCTAAATCTGGCCCTGAACACAGGGAATCAACAATCTCACTCCAAAGCACATCAACTTGTATGCTGCTCATTTCCTTGTCCTTCCTCTTCATAGACTCATCATTTACTGTAAGCCCAGGCTGCTTACTGGCAGAGATATACTTCCCAGTTAGTACATCAGGGTCTTTCACTGGAAGAACATTCAGCTGACCCTGAAAATGATGGGGACCTTTCCAGGCAAAACCTAATCAAGTGACATGGTTTGTGATGCAAAAAGCTTGCAGCACCACATCCATAAAAAGCTAGTGGAGAAAAGTATAACCTTTTGTCTTTTTCTTAGATAAATTCACTCTTCACTTCTCACTATTTTTCTTGCCAGGCTAAATACAAAAGCAAGAGTAAACTTGACAATGTTGCCTTTCTTTTCTTATGTTGAGGACTACTAGTTGGTAGAGGAATAGGTCAGGTTTGAGGAAGACTGACAATCTAACTCCTTATATTTATGTTAACAACCAGGCTTCTGGTTTGCTTTGGGTAGGCAGAGAAACATAAGAAAAGCCTGAGCCACGGTGAAGAGTATCACATAGCTCATAGGCGAAGGCAAGTTTGCTCTTTGCTGCCTTGTCTCCCAAATATTTTAAAGAGGTATCAGTTTGAAAAAATAGAAACTCCCAATGCATATGACAAGGACTTCCTAATTGAAAGATGTCACAAAAACTACCCAGGTAAGTAGCCATACTACTATTGCAGTACCACCCAAAATAGACTTGTAGTATCTTAAAGACTGAGACCAATTATGGCCTAAGTCCACAAGTTTTAAGCCACAAGAAAGGTGATCTTTGGGGTGTCACAAAATTCCTTGCAAAAGTAGTATACAATGGCTGTTTATCATCGAAGTGAGCGACTCATAGGCCAGAGCATCCACAGAACCACCAAGTTGCTTACGCCTGCTTTATTGTCTCCCATATGGCAACCTAAATGTTACACCATCCTCTGCATTTGGAGAGCAACCCTATGCATATCTACTCCAAAGTAAGTTCCACTCTTTGTTATTGCCATGATTTCCAGCAAGGAACAAGCCTGACCTCTGGCTGGCTTTTTCTCAAGCAGCTGCACTTGTGACAGGAGTATTTCTTGCACATACTCAGTCCTACTGTTGAGACTGCACCAACACATTTCTCTTGGCCATTGTATCTACTGGGGAAGAAAGGTGGCAAGCTACTAACACATTACTTGTGCATTTGCTTGTGCATTTGGGCAACCCTTGCACAGGGCAGAAGAATGTGTTGCTGCAAAAAAACAAAACCTGCTAAGACCTCAGATGTACTAGTACTATACATTAACAGTGTTTTCTTTACAGGTGGTCACTATAGCAGTCTATTCTTTCTTTGCCTTCTGTGTGGTTGGGCATCAGTTCCTACAGTCCTCGGAGAAAGAAAATGAGCAGTTAGATATGTATGTGCCCCTGCCAACACTTCTGCAATTCTTCTTCTATGCTGGCTGGCTGAAGGTGAGAATTTTGGACCCTGTTCTTTAACCAGATGGTATGTGACTTGCATTTCATATCCTTAACTTATGAGACTGACTTGGCCATGGACACCCAGTAGGCATAACACCTAAATAGAAACTCAAGGCCAAGTCTCCCAAACCCAAGTTCCAGGTGCTGCTACGTCAGTGGTGGCGAACCCATGGCACGTGTGCCACAGCGGGCACACAGAGCCCTCTGTCAGCACACGAGCCAAGTCACCCAAGCATCGGATAACAGCGCACATAGGGGCCATGCACATGCTTGGAAAGGAGTAGCAGCACCAGGCGCTGATGTCACAAGCTGCAACTCATTAGCCACAACTCGTCTGAATTTTTGCATGGCTGGTTAGTGCACTGCCAAGGGGAGGGAGAAGGGAGGGGAGGGAGAAGGGGGAGGGAGGGAGGAATATATTTGCTTGGACTGGCTGTGAGTTTTAATACATTCATTTTTATTAACACAAGATTTTAGCTTTGAGTTCTCTTATGAAAAATTGGAATTTAATATCTAAGATTTAGCAGAGAGATGTTCCAATTAAGAGACTGAGATTCTTTTAATGTTGTATTGTCCCCCTGGCATTTTTGAGCCAAAGTGTGACAAATTATCAGCGTGCATACAACAGCAAAGATTACATTAATCATGCAAAAGCATGCCAAATACAAACTTTTACCTTTCAGTAAGAAGCTGTTTGTATCATTGAAAGCTCTGTTATTGTGTTTTTAAGACAAAAGATGTTAATATAGTTGTTTGTTCTAAACTAAAACCTCAGTGTTCAGGTTTTATTGCAGTGTTGGCACTTCGTGATAAATGAGTGGGTTTTGGGTTGCAGTTTGGGCACTCGGTCTCTAAAAGGTTCACCATCACTGTACTAGATGAAATATTTTTACCCTCTTACTGGACACTCACCCTAGTATATTTCTGGAGTCCCATTCATTCTTTGAACCAGACCAAGCAGATTCAGGGACTCACAAAGCTTTCACCCTCTAGTTATATCTGAAGGTTATTCGGCACAAATTTGCCAAATCAGTCGACCATCTGTTCCTTTTTGGGCATCGAGCATTCTATAGTAAAACTCTTTAACATTTTCAATGCTGCTTAACTACATCAAAATAATATGCTGTTATGCTTCTAGTTTGTAAACTATCTTGAGATCCATTTCAAATAGATGGAATAGAAATATTTTAAATGAATAAAATGCCACACAATCTTTCTTTCTTTCTGAGAGAATACCGTTTGCTATTAAGATATGCCAGACAAAACTATTAACAGCTAGATTCTGTGGGTGCATGTCAGATGTCCTCAACCTGATAAGCGTTACAAAAAGGCAGCTCATATTCTATCTGGAGCCATCATTTTCTTTCAAATATTAAGATGCCACACTCTTCCTATAGGTGGCAGAACAGATCATTAATCCCTTTGGAGAAGATGATGATGATTTTGAAACTAACAAACTCATAGACAGGAATTTCCAAGTAAGTTTTGTACAGAGAACTATGAAAGATATGACTTATGCCTGTCACAAGTTTTGCCTAGCATGCATATAAAATGTGAGTTTTTTAAAATGCAGCAAATTTCCTTATGACATTAATGTGAAAAAATGCAAGCCACAATTACTGAGAAATCTGGTAATGTTTTCTGACCCAATGTTTTCTGCATACGATCTGCTCCATTTTTGCCATTTTACTTTATTCCCAACTGTTTAAAAACTCACTCAAAAGCAGAATGAATTGTATGAAGAAAACATAGGTGACAGAATGTATCTTTTGAAAAATCCTATTCATTCTTTTAGCCATAGAACTGGGTGAACAGCACTTTATATGCAATGTTTCCTCTGCAACATTTCAAAAGGATCATATTCTATTTTCACCATTAAACTGCAACACCCTGCTGTGACATAATTTGCCTTCCTCATTTATTGGAACAGGGCTGAGCTGGTTACAATCCGATTTGATTCATCATTTCTCTTCTGAAAGCTTCATTTTGCTCCAAATCAGAAGAATGTTTTTTTTTTTTTAGTTGCACCTTATAGTTCTATTTATCATACTATTGAGGAAAAGAATTCTTTCGCTTCAGGACTTCTGCATTAAAGTCTGATCATCATTAAAGCAATTAGTAATCTTATTCAATCTCCTTTGATTCAAGAAATATTCCTTTTGCTCTGGTTAGGTGTCTCTACTTTCAGTGGATGACATGTATCAGAACTTACCTCCAACTGGAAAGGACAAATACTGGAATGAATCTACAGCTCAGCCCCCATATACAGTTGCCACAGTGGCAGAAACCTTGAAACCTTCCTTCATGGGATCCACTTTTGACATGAGGTAAGTTCCCCTGGCAAGTTAAATGAAGTTATGCAGACTAAGCAGGGAGCTGTAACCCACTCTGGAAAAGATGAGTCCACTAATTTTCTGACAGGCCTGTATTTAGCCCTGTCCACTCACCAAAATGGTTGGGAGGCCCCTGGGGCAGACCCGCAGGAGTGCAAGGGTTAAGAGTACAAGGGGCAATCCCATTGTTAGTGTGTAACTTTAGATGGAAAGCCCTCAGCTTTGACAAACCTTCTAATCCAATTGTTAACTTGTAGAGGAATGTTTCTGTACTACTAATCCGAGCCTGTGACATGTCCAGGAGCCAGAGACAGCAAACTATTTCCAGTTCAGCTTAAGCTATTTTCTAAAAATTCTAAAATACTATTTGGGAATCTTGGCCCAAGGTCCCACAAAACAGTTCAGGGACAAGGTTAGTTCTCTGTCTGAAGTTTGAGCTATTAGAAAACTTAATAAACAGCATCATTTGATACACAAAGAAGCACCAAGTAGCATATAGGTAGAAGCCACCCAATAAATGTTATATACAATTCTTAACCAAACACACTCATGCATAAGACAGGGGTGGAGAACTTGCTGAACATTAACTTCCATCAGCCCCAGCCAATAAGAATTATATTCCAACAGCTGTGGTGCTCTATGTTCTCCACCTTGGAAAAGGATGAGTTCTTTATGGACTAACAACTTATTTTAAGGGACAAACCAAAAAATGCAGTTTTTATAACAAAGCAAACAGGGCCAAATATTTTATCCCAGCTAATGCTACAAGTCCAACATACAGAATTAGGTGGATCCTACATGTTTCAGCAAAATATTTTATCCCGACCACCAAAAGAGAACCTTTAGCAGGCAACAGCAAGTTAAACACACCCCCTACTCAAGTTGTACCTCATGGGTCCTCAAACTATGGCCTGCAGGCTAGATTCAGCCTGCCATGCCCATTTATCTGGGAGCCTCAGAGGTTTTGGACCCACCTCACACACGCACCCCCTGCTAGCACCACCTTGCTGGCCTGTGCCCACCGCCGGCACCTTTCCATTGGCCCCGTTGAAAAACTTTTGACCCGTTGTACCTACTCCTGAAGAACTGCATACATTCCAATTTATCAGACTGTGTCCTCATAAATAGTTTTGCAGACACACCATGCAGGCTATTTGCCCGCAAAAGAATCAGAGTAACTAGTAACAAGCACAATAATGACTACAGGGTATAATTTAGTGCAAAAACAAGAGTGGTGTGTAAGTGGCCCATTGATCTTCCATCAAAGTCCCATCTAGATGTAAGCCAGGACAGTCTCCAGGGGAAACTATCTCAAGCACCTACTGTACTGAAACACAAAGGTCAAAATTCTATGCAAGTTCAGAAAGAGAAGGCCTACAACTTCAGCATGTCCCAGCCAGGCATAGAACCCATTTTATTGCTTCTGCAGGAATACTTGCTCTTTTGGGATGGAATACACAGCTGTAATCCAACATTTTAAGCTTACTTTACCTGGTCTCTCTCTCTGCATAGGATGAGTGATGATCCAGAGCACAGCCAACAAGTAGAAGCATCCCCCAGCCCAAGCCGCATCCAGACACCCCTCCTCACCCGCTTCTTCACCACAGCTGCCTCCCCTGCCATTAGCCTCAAAAATTTTGGTAAGGGTAGCCGCATCCAACACCAACTACTCCGCTTGAGGACTGAAGGTACCTTCTCCTCTGCCAGCCCCAACTTCTCCCGCAGGGAAGATCTAGAAGCAGTTGGTCGTATTGATGAGGAAGAGACGGAGGATGATGAAAGCAGGCTTAGTGAAGCCCATACCCCTGACTCCCAACACGGACTCCCCCATAAGCTTGGAAAAGCAGATACGCAGAAGGATGTGCCCCGTATCACAGTAGAGTCCCCAGATGACATCAGTACCACTGACCAGCCCTCCAGCTAAGCTCAGAAATAGCAGGGCCTTTTGTGCACTATGTACTGAGCATATGAAAGGTATCTGAAGATACATGCTCAATTCCACAACATACATGAGAAATATGCGAGAAATTTTGTATTTATATCTTATAATATAGAAACATGCACATGTCCCTTCATGTGTACACAAGATATAGTTGAAATGTGATGTTTCTAAATGATATACAATTATTTTTGTATACAAAGAAATGGGAAGTACTGGCCGGGTGTCACTTGTATACCTTATCACCATATGTTGATTTAGTATGCAATTGTCTTTTGTAAGGCACAAATAAAAAAC